GTCAAGAGATGCATGTCCTGACTTCCTTTTCGAAATATTATTTTTTTGTTCAAAAATACATATTATACGCTCTGTTAAATCTTACATTACCAGCATCGCGAACAGTAATGACTATACGAATATTTAATATTTTTTTCAATTTCTGCAGTTTTAAATAAAATTCTACTTTTTGCCGAAATTCATCGATATTGCCTGTACTATTTAAGTCGCAAAATACATATTATACGCTCTGTTAAATCTTACATTACCAGCATCGCGAACAGTAAATACTATACGAATATTTAATATTTTTTTCAATTTCTGGAGTTTTAAATAAAATTCTACTTTTTGCCGAAATTCATCGATATTGCCTGTACTATTTAAGTCGCAGAATAATTGTAACAAACTGTTCTGCTCAGTTTTCTAAGAGTAACAAAAACGGTTCCTATCATCACTTTTGTCAGCTGATTTTTTTTTTATAATTTTCGGAATAGTGCGAGAAAAAACTTCAGCGTTTTTCCGGTTCTTCTCAAAATCTATTCATTTGAACTTCATCAGGGCCTTAACGAACTGTTGAAAATATACAATCGATATCTCATTTTCTTCCACAGTTATCGTAGAGAATCTGTTTTGCAGAGGACACAATTTTCATTAAGATGTTTTTCGATTCTGAACAATTGTTCCAAGATAAATGGGCTCCCCAAATAAAGAAGCTCAGGTCTGCTATGATGACAGTTATAGTACTCTTTAAGAGTCTAAGGACTTGAAAGTTATTTTTTGTAGAGGAGAGTCAATGTTTCCTACTGTTTTTGGATGCATACAGTTATAGTACTCTTTAAAAGTCTAAGGACTTGAAAGTTATTTTTTGTAGAGGAGAGTCAATGTTTCTTACTGTTTTTGGATGCATAACACCTTTGTTTCGTTTCGAAATTTTCCATGAATCAACAACATGGACATAGACGCAAAAATACATACTACCACTCCATATTTTTGGGAAAGAAAGTTTTTGGCTTTCTACTACTCCATCTTGATATAAAAAAAGATGTGGGAATCTTCCAGAGAAAGGAAGGAAGTAATTAATTTGAAAATAAGTAACTCTATACATGGATGTGTTGATCATGCAAAGAAGTAGAGAAAAGTATATTCTGTATAATCCAGTGTTCATATAAAAGTATTTGTTTCGAAAGATTTTTTTTCTTTCGTGTAATTCAATGTTTATATGAAAGTAGCTGTTTCAGAAGGACTTTCTTCCAGTTTGTGTCTGAAAATTACTTCTTTGCATAATCTACACATCCATGTATAGAGTTACTTATTTTCAAATTGATTACTTCCTTCCTTTCTTTGGAAGATTCCCACATCTTTTTTTGTATCAAGAGTAGTAGAAAGTCAAAAACTTTCTTTGCCAAAAATTAATCTCTCCTAAAAATATAACCTCTTCAATTCACTCCATATTATCCTGCTCACCAAACAATCTCGAACACTGTTAGCCAAAGATCTGCATCTGATACAAGGAACCTCTATACTCATCACACGACAAAGTTAGATCAAGGTAATACACCATCAGACTTCAACCCAATCGACCAGACAAAAACAGAGGTTTCTGGAGGAGCTAAAGTATTCAATATCCTCAAAGCAGATCCTGGACATCAAATGATCTTTAAGTAGCCAAAGGAATTTATTGCTCACGATGGCTTCCATGTAGGTTTTTTGCTTCATAGTTTTTAACTCGGTATCGACAAAGTTCTAGGCTCCCAACTCATAGGTCTTTCGGGTATGCCCCAATTTTTGCTTTTTTCAGCCAGAACCATACTGTTACATAGACATTCCAATAACAAAAGTCCTCCCAGTTTACGAGTTGGTACAGTTACTCAACTACAAGATAAGTGTAATGTCTCTCTAAATGTCTTCAAAATGATGTAGAATGCGTCGTTCTCTTTTGAGATGAACCATTGCACATCTGTCTGTTTTGAAGTCCATACCGACAGTGTGATCGTTTTCTATAGAGTCATGAAGTAGATCATCTAGTCTCAAGGGTTACCGCAGCTAAACTCAATATTATTTCTAAGCGCAATGAATAATGACAGAGGAGAGCTACAGAAAAGGAAATCATCCCGGAATACATCCCTTTTGAATGTATCCTTGTTTGGTTTCTGACTCGACCAAATCAGCAAGTTTTCCAAAGGGTTCCAGTTGTTCAAATTATCTAAGCAAATGCAAAATGAGCGCATGATGTGCATGAAATAAAATCGAAAGATACAATTTTTCTCACGGTTCTCCCATAATATCTGTTCCGAAAGGTCGGATCTAGACAAAAAAGGGCAAGAAAGAACAAAGACAGAGACAAAAAGGCCATACAGATATTTTAACCTGTGGTGCTATTGTGAATTATATAATATAGTTGAGAAATTGTCCAGAAGGATGAAAAGAGGTATCAAATCATAGTTTAGAACAATTTTAATTTAAATTATTATGAATACTAGTCAGTCAAATTATCTAGATTCGTAATTTGTAAACCCTAACCCACATTTCCTGAAAGTCTGTAGTCGCCAACTAATTTATCACAAAGTATTAGTGAAAACAAGTCATAAGCAGACTGTCCTATGATTACAAAAGAATCCTTTGGTTGATAACTCAGTTACAGTCATTTTTATTCGCAATCGATAATTCAATATATCGCAGGCTTCATGAGTCATACAGAATTCGCTGTGACGCATAAAAGTCCTTTCAGATGATGAATGGCGCAAGCTTTTTTCGCAATTTAGACCTTTCCGGAGTTGAAATGTTTGTCTGGAGTAATATTTCGTAGATTTCGCGATATTGCAATTTCTAAGCCGTATATACTCTTTTATATTGAATTATTTGCTGTCAGTTGAAGTGGAGTAGGTATTAGGAACGTCTTGTAGATTTTTCGTAAGGCTTAGATATTTAAATTTCAATTCTCGGGGTTGCACGTTTATTTACATCTAAAATTGTGTCAGTCCTTAGTTTGAAATAAATGTTTTTCTTGCACTCGACAGACACATTTATTTCATATCTTACTACGTATAGTCGAAGCAACCTTTATTGTGAATACTTAATGCTATCGGCATCTCAAAGGCCAAAAAAACAAATACAGAAAAATAATGCCGCTGCGAACTAGTCCACGTGGACTGAAGAATTGGCGGTTCGTATTGGATAATTTTACTAACTCTCTTATAATGCCTAATGAAATTAGGTATTAAGTAATTAAAAATAATTCTCTACCTTTGTTATTCTGAGTTTGTCACGTAATTGAATGTAATTTATCTTCATAGGTGGTACTATGATAATAACAACTATTGATATTCCGTCGTTATTCAGCAGGAAATTTTTGAGAGAAATTGTACTTCTTGGCAGATGCTAGTTTCCCTCTTATTTCGTCCTGATGCAGGTTGTGAGAATTCACAAGTCTATTCCTAGATTTGAAACGCTGTACTGTATAGGACACAATTTTTATGAAAGTCAATGACACTTTTACAAAGGAATTCTCGTTGGTTCTGTTAGCAGTGTCATGAAACTAAATTATAAAAAAATGCGATGTTGTCAAATGTATATGGATCGACAAGATATCCCCTTTTTTGTATAGGTATAAATGGTAATATTTTAAAGAGAAAATAGTGCTCGCACAAGTTTCGACTTCTGAGGGTTGTCGTTCGTAGGGGTGCGACAGCTGGTTAACGAAAAAAAAACAGATCGGAAAGTTTCCAGACCGCCCTCGTATAATGCCTAATGAAATTAGGTATTGAGTAATTAAAAATAATCCTCTGCCTTTGTTATTCTCATAGGTGATGTAATTATCTTCATGATAATAACAACTATTGATATTCCGTCATTATTGAGCAGGTAATTTTTGAGAGAAATTGTACTTCTTGACAGACGCTAGTTTCCTCTTATTTCTTCCTGATGCAGGTTGTGAGAATTCACAAGTCAATACCTAGATTTGAAACGATGTACCACAATTTTTATGAAAGCTAATGACACTTTAATAAAGGAATTTTCATTGGTTCTGTTAGCAGTGTTATGAAACTGAATTATACAAAAATGCGATGTTGTCAAATGTATATGGATATCGACAAGATATCCCCTTTTTTGTATAGGTATAAATGATAATATTTCAAAGAGAAAATAGACTTTTTTATATCGGATTTACCCAAAAAATAACATAGGCTGTACCTTATTGAAAACAATAAAGCTCCCTACGTAAATTGCAATAATATAACCAATGATATCACAAATAATATGCTTATAAAAGGGAATTATGCATGCGAGGTTGCCTGATGTCTGTACGACAATCCAAGAAAACGGCAAAAATCTCAAGCCGCGCCAATCGACGGTAAACCCAATTTGGCGCGTCGGTGTCACCCACAATCCTGCGAAATTCAGACATCCCAGTCAGGCGCTTGAATGAACTAAAATCGAGCAGATGAAACAACAATTGGCCCAGATAAAGAAATGTAGTCGCGTGTCCAAACACACATATCGACGTGTATACAGCAGCTGCCACCGACACATTTCAAAATAACGTTCGATAATAGACCATTCTCTTTTACGATGATTTATCTCTTATTTACTTTTTTTCCTTGGCGTGTCACTGAATCGCGACATATGCGCGAACAAATTCGAAGCGCAGACAAAAGAAACTCGACGATTTCACGGCTGCACGAGATGAGTCGCATTAGGAGTCGTTTGGCGAAAGATTTCAACACTCCTCTTTTGTTATAAAATTCTGCCAATTTCTGTGAGATGATTCAAAACTGCATTTCCGTTATCAAAAGCCTAAGGAATCAATTTCCAAAATGTAAACAATCTGAAGAAAACTACGAGTATGTATATAATTTTTTTCACTGTTTAGTCGTAGGCAAAATTTATGAATACAAATTACTAATCACTTTATCGTTTCTACGTTGGCTACTCTGTGTACCTATGTGTCATGAGTGTCAGCTGTCACATGTATATGAAGTTTATATTGTTTACTTTTGAGTTATATTTGCTCTTTGGCAGTCGTTGTCATTGTATTTATTTCATAGTCCATATCAAGGAATGGCTAATGTATGTATTTATCAGCATCAATTATATGTAGTAGATGTTCATATTGTTCATTTTTGATATGTATTTTCTGTTTCCATTGCATTTATTCTCCATATAGTAGGTATTCAGTTGATGATGTTAACTTGGTTAGTTTTTATCGTGTGATAATTTTTTTCAAGCAATAATGAGTTTCGTATGACCTAAATTTTAATGTATGCTATTATAGTCCATCATTTCTATTGCGTTCCTATTATGTATTTAGATGTAGCTAGTTCAAAACTTGACAGTACACAAAAATTATGTATTTATTTAATGAAACCCTATTAATAGATTACAAATAAGGCATTTATTGCATTATTTTAAAATATATTAATAATATACGGCCGCCATGATATCTTGTACGCCAATCAGAGCAAATTACGTCACGTTAGAGTAAACGAACGAATATGACATTTTGTATAATAGAACAGTAATAACCGACGCTAGTTTTTTCTGATTTTCTTCAAAACTTGTTTTATATTGTTTACAGTGACTACTTTCATTTGTTGTGCGAAGAATCGTGTGCCATGGAACCAGGATTCACAAAAAATTCGACTTGTTGATGTTGGGAGAGCTTATGGCATCAAACAAAGACTTGTTCGGCAGAATTTAGAGATGTAAAAACTTCATTGTGAATATATAATAATATTTCGAAAACAAATAATGAAAATAAGTTGAAAGATTTTGAAAGATACTTGTAGTTTATTATTGAAGGTTATGTGATATGATATTAATGAAACTTCTTACTGACTAGTGATTACAGAATGATTTATTTATTTTAGATCCTCCAGGGCATGATAATACAATAAGCTACGTATAGTTAAATCACGAAGGAAATCTGTGCACACTAAAAAAAACATAACAAGGGTGAAAAATTCCGGAGTTGATGCCTAACCTTAAAAAAAGTTCATTATTGAATTGACTCCTCGACCAAGATAAGATTGGTTTCCGATCTACAAATTGAGGTAAATATTTACCTCAAAGTGATCTTCACGAAAATAAAAGTACTGGGTAATATTTTAAGCTATTTATTTCGTGTTGCTCAAACGTGACGTCACAAGCGACGCCATGTTAATTTGAAGTGTTTTGGTGCGAATTTTGAACTTATGAATTGAAGTGTATTTATTTTTCACTGAACTACTATTTTTTTGCTGAAATATGATATAATTGTAATTATAATATATTTCTCAACAGTATTTCAAGATCTGTCATCATGTCTATTCCAAAACATGCAAATAACATCAAAAATTGAAAATAAATGTTTGATTCATTGTTTTCTCCGTTACAGAAAATGTTATTCTCGTCACCAGTAAACAGACGTCTTTCACTGAATGCTTCTATAATTTTTGGGCAACAAAATCAGTTCCTAACGAACTTTTGTGGGTCACTTAGAAATATCCAGTATCCCAACTGACAGACACTTTATTCCCGTGTCTAGCCGATGACCCTGTCTAGTCAGATCGGTCACATGCAAATGACCTTTTTTCTTTCTGGATGCTGGGATGCATGGGAGATGTTTTTATTCCTGTATCTTGACCGTTAAACCTGTACGACGGGTTGGAAAAAAATTGATATAAAAACCGCGTTGTAATTGCTTATCTTTGACAGCGCACGGAGTCATAGAATTAGAATATTTTACAAAAGAACGCGGCACCCCTATGATGGGTACGATGTTTGCTTCTTAACCGAAATTTGTTTAATCGTTAGTTTTGAAATGTTACATGTTACCGTTGAAAATGAAATGAAACGGCAAAGTTTGAAAAAATATTGAAATGTAATGATGAGATGNTAACCTTAAAAAAAGTTCATTATTGAATTGACTCCTCGACCAAGATAAGATTGGTTTCCGATCTACAAATTGAGGTAAATATTTACCTCAAAGTGATCTTCACGAAAATAAAAGTACTGGGTAATATTTTAAGCTATTTATTTCGTGTTGCTCAAACGTGACGTCACAAGCGACGCCATGTTAATTTGAAGTGTTTTGGTGCGAATTTTGAACTTATGAATTGAAGTGTATTTATTTTTCACTGAACTACTATTTTTTTGCTGAAATATGATATAATTGTAATTATAATATATTTTTCAACAGTATTTCAAGATCTGTCATCATGTCTATTCCAAAACATGCAAATAACATCAAAAATTGAAAATAAACGTTTGATTCATTGTTTTCTCCGTTACAGAAAATGTTATTCTCGTCACCAGTAAACAGACGTCTTTCACTGAATGCTTCTATAATTTTTGGGCAACAAAATCAGTTCCTAACGAACTTTTGTGGGTCACTTAGAAATATCCAGTATCCCAACTGACAGACACTTTATTCCCGTGTCTAGCCGATGACCCTGTCTAGTCAGATCGGTCACATGCAAATGACCTTTTTTCTTTCTGGATGCTGGGATGCATGGGAGATGTTTTTATTCCTGTATCTTGACCGTTAAACCTGTACGACGGGTTGGAAAAAAATTGATATAAAAACCGCGTTGTAATTGCTTATCTTTGACAGCGCACGGAGTCATAGAATTAGAATATTTTACAAAAGAACGCGGCACCCCTATGATGGGTACGATGTTTGCTTCTTAACCGAAATTTGTTAAATCGTTAGTTTCGAAATGTTACATGTTACCGTTGAAAATGAAATGAAACGGCAAAGTTTGAAAAAATATTGAAATGTAATGATGAGATGTAGCAACAATTGTCCGTGGTTTATAATATTGACATGGCATTTCGTTAATTAATGTAATGTTCTGTTGTGTCGCCCTCTCTAATGATACTTGAATACACTCCACATTACAAAAAATCATTCTCAAGCATCTGTTTAATTACTCTTCGTTCGCTATTCTACAAGCACACAAGCACAGCCATGCTGACACCAATGGCAACACCGCATTTCCACGGGGTTCGTACATTGTCAAATGCAGAACTAGCAAATACCGAATATTTTTCAAGTTATATTTGTAAGTTTTCGACGAAATCGTGAGAAGTCAGATTATTGTATTAAAGTATGGAACTTTCTCTAGGAAAGAAACCCATTTCTTTATCATTTCTTCATCTTTTGGGCAATGTACAAACTGCCATACCTGCTCTCCAGGTATGGCAGTTTGTACTTTTTTTAATTTTATCCACCTTCAGTAATATAGCAATACCGAGGCATATGTATTTGAAATTATCTTCAAATATCAGAATGGATAGCAAATGAACATCACCTTACTTCAAATCATCCCAGTTTCTGAAGAACTTCGAAATTCAACACTTTCACTCAAAACTAGAACATTTAGTTGAGCAATACTTCTGAATATCTTTTAAACTCATATATTACCAATATAAAAGTTCCAAACTACAGAAAAAACTATTGATTTTTCATTTATTTTATAACAACTGTACTTTAAAAGCATAGGACCCTCAACAGTGTTGCCACTTCTCTCTCAGCAAGGCTTGTTATGCTGTTGGCTTATATTTTTTATCGAGATGAGCGAGCACTGGAAGAAAATCTTCAAAAGCATTCAATCAATTTATGAAACATTATTAATTCATTAGGTATTCAATATGTATGCAAAATAGGAAATAAAATGAGAATATTTATTTGGGATCAACATTAAAGAACTTGTTTGATTACTCAGGTCAACAGTGTTGTTGTCACATGAACTTTGTGATGTGTTTTGTTTATGTTGGCCTACCCCCATTATAAATATTTATTTCTGATCTAATATCCGTCATTTAGGCGGCTGTATATAAGAACTTGTTTGATTACACAGGTCAACAGTGTTTTTGTCACATGAACTTTGTGATGTGTTTTGTTTATGTTGGCCTACCCCCATTGTAAATATATAAGTATTTTGTTTCAATCACATCCAGTTTACATTGTGACAGCTATATATTCATTTCTGGCCTAATTAACGTCATTTAGGCGGCTGTAGGTATAGCTATTGCATCAGCTAACATACATTTTATTTTCGTTAGGTACATCGCAAATATGCAACGAAAGTGTTCTACTAACCCTAACAGTCTTGTTATGTGTGTGAAGAATCAGCTTTTAGACTCCAGCGTCGAAATTTCACCCCATTAATTGAGCAGTGCTTTTAAGAATATTTTGGATTTACTGTGCAGCATCAAGATAAATTCTGGGTCCCAGATAAATGTTGTGTAACGTGTGTGAGACTCCTATTAGGTTAGGCTTTTATTTGAATCAAACAAAAATAAAAGGCATTACAACGAAGTCCAAACATACTCTCCAGTATCCAAACTTGTCTTCGGCCAACAGACCCATCCTCCAAATCGATCAGAAAGTCGGGATTCCAGTCCGGCAGAATTTGTTCGCATGAGGAATATGAAGATAGACCCAAGTTGTGAACCGCAAACTTCAAAAGAACCGCACTTATTGACACAAAGTGATTTAAACGATTTAGTACGTGATTTTAATTCTTCTAAATAAACAGGCTGAGCTTTTGGGGTCTAGATCAAAGGACTGGAATTTACTTTCTCCTGATACAAATATTTCTTATTTTCGACATTGTGACGATGAAATAAAACCTTACTTTCCTAAAGTCCATTGTAATAATATTTATGTTGTGATTAATTTATTCAATTTTGAATATGATCCAAGTCACTGACGACTGTTCATTGACTCCTCAAAAACTAGTTTGATAGCAGTGTTGCTGCATAACAGAAACAAACTCCCTTCAGTGCAGGTTGCTCATGGTTCTAATATGAAAGAGACTTACGAAAATATGAAATTTCTTCTTGAAAAAATTAATTTAATGAACACGCTTGGAATTTTCACCAAAATATATGCTTTGATGTCAAGACAAAAACCTGTTGTGTACATTTTTTTTCATTGATACAATATTGGTTATTGACCCCAGTAGATTCAAAGTTTGATATAAGTTTTCATGTGACAAAAAACAGTTAAAATTTTGTTGACCAGTGTTGTTAGATACATATTCATATGGAATGAAACAGTGAATTTAATTCAACAATTTTGAACGTATACGAGTATTGAACATATCATAGCCCTGCAAATATTGCTTTACAAAAATTCTCAAGTTGTCTGTCATTTTCGAACCAGGCGAAACAGATCCTGGCTTTTTGAATCCCATACAAAAGAGAGACAAACTTAGCCAGTGCCAAGTTAAACATTTTTTGGCGACTAAATGTGCAATACCATTCTTGACACAGTGTTCGCTTTTTGAGAAGAAAGGAGTGTTTATTTTATTTGTTTCCGTCTCAGGGTGGACACTATTTTTTATCAATAATTCGAAACATTACCTTTTTTGTTGAATTTAAGCGACGTAAAAGCTCAAAATGAAAATCTACTTGAGTTTTCAGTAAAATCCTTTTTTTTTTTTCGAGATAGGTAAGTATATTCGTATTTTTCTTGGAATTCTGTTATGAGAACATGAAATTCACAAAAATTTTAAGAGTGCACCAAATAAATGGTTTGCCCGGGCCGCAAAAGCTCTAGGATAGAATATAATAAACATAAGTTTATGAAGAAATAATAATTTTTCACGGCCAGGAAAAGAAACAATAATGATTATTTATCAAGGATTAGGAAGGCCACGCCTACATTTGAGGTCAGGAACTCGAATTTCAAGAACTGCATTTGTTTTAGCGCTAAATAAACAGAGTGAAACTTTTCGCTCGTCCCAGTAATACACCAGAAGTTCTCGTCACACGCTGAAATCTAAAAATTCA